ACCGTGGATGAGCTCGAGAGCATCCTTCACGTGATACTTGGCCGTCTTTGGGAAAGGTAGCCTCCTCTGCTTCCCAGCTAGGCAGCTGTCGCACAGCTCGTCTCCGTGCTTGATGTGGGGTAGCTCTTGTACCATCTTCTTCAGCCAACCAAGCGCGTCGAAGCTGAGATGTCCGAACCGGGCATGCCACATCCACGGTTCCTTGGAGTGCCTTACCGTCAGGCACACCGGCTGCTCTACCTTCAGGTCGAGCAGGTACAATCAGTTCAGGGACCTCTTCACATTGGCAAGAAGTCGCTGCTCCCGGTCCCTGATCCTAAGGACTCTGTCCTTGATCAGTACCTCGCTACCGTACTCATCTAGCTAACCAATGCTGATGATGCTGGAACACAGCTGCGGGAAGTAATATACATCCGTTAGCGCACGGTGCTCCCCGTTCTGGCATATGAAGATAATGGTGCCACGCCCTTGGATAGCCACCCTTGAGCCGTCACCAAACTTCACCGTACCAGTAACATCGCAATCGAGCTCGGAGAAGGATGCCTTGGAGCCCGCCATGTGGTTTCCGACACCAGAGTCCAGATACCACCGGTGCTCCTAATCGGTGCCCACACATCCGAGGTGAACTTGGGCGCGTCGTTCTTTGAGGTTGACGGTCTTCAGGGCCTTCCTAGTTCCTTCCACCGCCATCACCTCCACCTTCTCCTCCGCCTTGATGTCGTGCAGTGCACAGAACGTTGCCATTAGTATAGTGGCCTCATCCTCATCACTGGCTTGCGCCAGATGAGCCTCAGCCTTCTTATCCTGCTTGCGGTTTGGACACTCCCGTGCCCAATGGCCCATCTTCCCACAACGTCGGCAGGCGTTGGGGTTGACTTGCTTCTTCTCCAAAGAAGCCTTACCGCGGCGCTTGCCATCGCCACCGTGGCTGGAGGAGGCTGCCTTCCCAGAGTTCCTCCGAGCAGCCCACTCCTCTTCTGTCAGCAGGAGTTTCCCACTGTCCTTCGTTGTTGTCGCTTGCTCCAAGCGCTCGTCCACCGCTTGCAGACAGCCTGTCATATCCTTAATGGTGAGGGTGGACAAGTCCAGCATCGTCTCTATGGAGAGAGCGATCTGGATGTATTTTGCTGGCACGAAGTGTAGTTACTTGGAGACGACCTCCTCTTTGTCGATGGTGACGCTGTGGCTCTTCAGCTTGCTGATGAGCGTCTGTAGGCGGAGGAAGAAGTCCTCTACTGTTGCACCATCCTTGAACTTGAGGTTGGCGTACTCCTGCTTCAGAAGCTGGGCCATCACCTTCTTTGCGCGGTCGGAACCGACACGCATCGCCGCAATAGCCTCCCACGCCTCCTTAGCCGAGCTCTTCGTCCCCAACAGCTCCCTGTACTCCGCCGGTACAGCAGCGAGGATAGCCTCCAACGCTGACATGTCATCTTCTTCACAGTCGGTGCCCTTGTTAACAGCATTCCAGAGCCGTCGGGCTCTGAGCTTCACCTTCATGGTTACCGACCACTCTCCATAGTTGGTGCGAGTCAGCGTCGGCCAACTGGTGCCGCCGACCTCCAGCACCGTGTGAACAATGACCTTCGGTCGTGGCTGGGCAACCACAGCAGTGCCACTGCTGTCGCCCACTTCCGATCCGTCCGTCATCGTCAGCGATTAGTCTAGCGATGGTGCTTGTACGGCTCTGAGACCACTTGTTGGCCCACAGGATCACCGGCTCAGGTGAGTGAACCACTCACTTGTCTTGCCTAGCACCCGCTAGTGCTGTCGAGCAGTCACTTGCCGTGCCGACCACAAACAGACATTGTTTGACCACACACTATGGCTAGAGATAGAAGAAGAGGAAGAACAGAGCATGCACGCACAATACGAGACACTAGCATTGGCCGAAGCCCTGTCTGTGGGATGGTAAATCTGAGCTCTCTTTACTGAGTTGCTGTGGTATCCTATTTATACAACTCTATTTTTCTAGTCTTAGTATAGCTGTCGTGCTGCTACAAAAACTAGATAACATACAGGGCTGACTCTGAGTCGTCCACTGCATGTGCCTATAATGCTGCAGGTGAGCCGTGCGACGCCTGCACCTGCAGCGGCTACAGTATCACAGTAGAAGATCAGTTCGGCGCCGCTTCTCTTGCTGTTTTCACACAAAGAAAGCAATAGTCCGCTGGTGCTCTCACCGTGCAGCTAGCTCGCCGATGGGCCCCGCGCCATGCGTGTTCGAGGGAGCTCTTCAGCCTGCGGCTGGAGGAGCTGTGCCCGCACCTTGCACCGCTGCTCGCCCAGAAGTGCCGGAGGGTGGCCTGCCGGCCTGGAGCCGTAGACAGCAAGTCCCTGTAATTTGCTTCCACCTGAAATTTCATCTGTCGCCATGGATTTGCTCACGCTGCCACCAAATTAGCTCCCATTCGCCGCGGATATGCCTACCATAGCAGCACAGTTGTCGTTGCCGCCGCCGATGCGCCTGCGGCCTGCCCCTGTCTCGATGGATTGATGATTCGCCTCCGGATCTGCACGGTGCGCCTCAGCCGATTGGAGGGCTCAAGGCGTTGACCATGGAAGGAGTTGAGCAGGAGCCCCCAACTCACCGACGCCGCCGGCAGCGAGGGCGAGTCTACTGAGAACGGAGTCGAGAGGAGACGTTTTTTATTGAGTAAAATGCACCCTGGCTACTTAAATTATTAGGACATTACTATATAAGTATTCGAACTGAAAAAGCTACCACCTAGGTATTTAAATTATTGAGACATTACCATCTGGGTACTCGAACTAAAAAAACTTCCGCTTGGGTACTTAAACTATTGGGGCATTACCATCTGGGTACACGAGTGGGCCGTCGCCGCCGCTGCAGAGTGACTAGGAGCACGGGAAAATGAATTTTGATTCTTTTTCTTTTTCTGAAAATTGATGAATAGTACTGGAATTTGTTATTTTTAAAAAATAATTAAAATAAATAAATGTCAAAAAGAGGCCGCCTACAGTTACTTTGCTTTCTTTTTCACACTGCACGCTCATGAGCCAAAAATTTCTAAAATTTTTTGTGTAGCGTCTACATGATGTACTCTACCTAGGAAAATTATGAAACTTGAGAAAGAAATAGTTTTTGTATGTTTAAAAATTACCTCTTTTAATTAATAAATGAACTTTCATGAATTTTATAATTAAAATAAATAAATGTCTAAAAAGAGGCGGCCTACCTGTGCTCGCCTGCTCGCCCGGTGGCCCGCCTAGAGCGTGAGCAGGCGAGCACAGGCGGCCCTCCGGGCACACGCGCGAGGCCCCATCGCCGTGGCCACACGAGCGACCTGTGGAGCGCGGGCGGGCCGCCGCCGCCACCGCGGCACGCGGGCACACGAGCAGGTGAGCAGGCGAACACAGATAGACCGCCTCTTTTTGACATTTATTTATTTTAATTATTTTTTACAAAAATAACAAATTCTAGCACTATTCATCAATTTTTAGAAAAAGAAAAAAATCAAAATTCATTTTCCCGCGCTCCTGGTCACTCTGCAGCGGCGGCGACGGCCCACTCGCATACCCAAATGGTAATGCCCAAATAGTTTAAGTACCCAAGTGGGAGCTTTTTTAGTTCGAGTACCCAGATGGTAATGCCTCAATAGTTTAAATACCTAAGTGGTAGCTTTTTCAGTTCGAGTACCTAGATGGTAATGCCCCAATAGTTTAAGTACCCAGGTGCATTTTACTCTTTTTTATTTTACAACGGAAGTATTGCCCTAATTCAGATGTAAAAATATAAAATAAGTAGACTCACTAGCCATCCAAACAACAAATTTGGATTCAACTCGGAAAAATTTACAGACCTATAATTTACAGGTGTCTCAATTACCAAGCTTCCAAACAGGACCTTAACCTGTTCACATGCATGCATGCCTGTGTACGTCGTCCGATCCGGATGCAGTTGGCCGAATGAACTTGTTTCTGCAGTTATTCATCCACGCCGTTCATATCTGATCCAAGCGTCAGCTTAAAAGAAGCTAATCTAACAGGCCTCCAGCCGGCCCATGTGAGCCCATCCCGCACGGCTCTACCCCTCGCGACTCCAACCTCCGCCTCCACGGCTCCGCCGCCATTTCTCGTTCCCCAGGCCACGCGGCTCCTCCGTCATCGCCGGGGCATCACCTGAGCGTCGCGGTGCTCCCGTCCTCGTTAGTGCGACACCGGATCGGGCTGCCATCCTCATGCTCACCCACCGAGACCCACTGGCCAGTGGCCATGGAGCTCGCAGCGCCCAGCGTGGAGCGTGCAGCTCGCCGGCCACAAGCTCGCGCCAAAGCCCGGCTGTTCCCCCTCTCACGCCCGTGCCGGCCGCGACCATAGTGATTGACAGCTCGAGCTCGTGCCCGTGCCCCCGACCACGGAGCTCGCGCTGCAGCCTGCAGCCAGATGTTTCGCCTGCGCCGGCCATGGGCCCTGCTGCTCGAGCTCGTGTCGTCGCCTCGTCGGCCATGGAGCTTGCGCCGTAGCCCTACCGTCGCCTCGTCCGCGCTCGTGGACTCGCGCAGCTGACCTAGCGACCTGCTTGCGCCGTGCTGTTATTGGGCCGAAGCCCAGCGAGCAGCGTGGAGGCAAGGCACATGCTCCTGGAGTCCTGGTCAGCGTTGGATACCAGGGGAACGGCTAGATATCCAGCGACTGCAGAGACTTCTCGACCTGGTTCCGTCCGATCCATGCAGTACGTGCGATGGACCGTGCGTCATCGATGGGCCGGTCATCGTATCGTGGATTATTCTTGTATGAGAGAAAATACTATTCCAGGAAATTCACGATCGTTTACGAAGTACTAGTACTAGTACTAGCTTAGGTCTAGGGAGCCACCACTATAAATACCAGCTGCCCTCCCTCGTCGTCCTCAGACCAATCCAGCCATTTCCTTCTTGCACTTGCACATAGCTAACAGCCAACTAACAGCGGGATCACAAGAAGCGATCGAACCAGCAATTTGTTAGCAAAGCACATACTTTTGACGTGGACCAACCATGGCCAACAAGCTCGCCACTTCCCTCCTCGCTGCCTGCTTCGCCGCCGCCGTCCTCCTGGCGCTCGCCGCACCTGCAGTGCTCGCCGGCGACCCCGACATGCTCCAGGACATCTGCGTCGCCGACTACAAATCCCTCCAGGGCCGTAAGTCATCGATCTCCAGTTCTACACACTAGCTATAGCTAGCAACATTGTTTTTCGGTGATCTCTCCAAGTCCACTGTCCACACTATATATATAATAATAACTATGCCTTGCAGCACTGCGGCTGAACGGATTCCCGTGCAAGAGGCCGGAGAACGTGACGGCGAACGACTTCTTCTCCAACGTGCTGGCGACCCCGGGCAACACGGGCAACGCGGTGGGGTCCGCGGTGACGTCGGCGAACGTTGAGAAGCTCCCGGGGCTCAACACGCTGGGCGTGTCGGTGTCGCGGATCGACTACGCGCCGTGGGGCGTGAACCCGCCGCACATCCACCCGCGCGCCACCGAGGTCATCTTCGTCCTCCAGGGCTCCCTCGACGTCGGCTTCGTCACCACCGCCAACCGCCTGTACGCGAGCACCGTCTGCGCCGGCGAGGTCTTCGTCTTCCCCCGGGGGCTCGTCCACTACCAGAGGAACAACGGCGGCGGCCCCGCCGCGGTCCTCTCCGCCTTCGACAGCCAGCTGCCCGGCACACAGCCCGTCGCTGAGGCCCTCTTCGGCGCGTCGCCGCCCGTGCCCACCGACGTGCTCGCCAGGAGCTTCCAGGTCGACGGAGGAGTCGTGGAGGCTATCAAGTCCAAGATCCCGCCCAAGTAATAGGCCTGTCATGCTCATGCATGCAGGCACCATGCATGCACGTACGTATACGTATTATACGCTGGTAATAACGAGTGTGTGATTTGATTGAACAAGTGTCATCACTTCGTATTCTAGCTGTAAAGCGTGTATGGGTCGATCAATTCGTTGGGTTGGAGTGAGGTCATGATGGCCATGCATATATGGCTTCACCGACAGTTCAACTGTTGTTGTGTTTCAATTTCTGCATGAGCCACTTGTATGTGTAGGGTGGTGTGTTTCCGTCAATGTGCAAATTCAGAGTAATGAGTGTCCTGATTGGTGCCTGAATATTGTTGCTCTTGCAACATATTCATCGGATAATAAATCCTGTCGTCCATCATCATGCATACACATCAGTCATTTAGAATTTCGAGTCGTCAAAACTGTGAGCAGGCGGCCTGATAGTTCCTGTTCCTCCTATCGTACCTCCACCAAGAAGCAGCGCCATCGGTGGCGGAACCAGGAGTTTTGATCAAGGGAGTCGGATAATACGTAAATATAGCTTTTCAATATTTTTATGTACGTACTCCCTCCGTTCCTAAATATCTGTTGTTTTCGTTTTCCGAGAAACAATTTTGACTAAATATATATTAAAAAATATTAATATTTGTGATACGTATCATTGGATAGATATTTGAATCCGGTTTTTTAATAAATTTATTTGGGGATAGAAATATTGCATGTATTTTCTATAAATCGAGTCAAAGTTATCGGCACGCAAATCGTGGCGACAAACATTTAGAGACAGATGGAGTATTTAATTAGTATTCATAGAAAAAAACACAATATTATCAAAGAAAAAATGGGTGAAATAATAACTTTTTATGCTACGGTAAATCTATCCTTTACTCAAGTGTTTTTCTTCCTTCGCCCACTCGATTTTTGGGCCGTCAGATGATGCACTACGACGGAGGCACGGAGAGGTGAGCGCTCAAGCGGTCGTCGCAGGGCCCACACACCACACCGCACTCCCCTCTCCTCCCCTTTGACACGGAGAGACGGACACCTAGCTGGCCCATGCTGCTTTTGCGCAGGGGTAGGTGCAGAGACTACAGTAGCTAGCGGGTAGTGTCAAATCACCTAGCCCCTACTCATGTATGTATATATAGGGCAGATTACATTTCGTTGAACCATATTTTACATCTTCAGTTTAGGTGTAAGTTCTATATTCAACTGGTGTAAATTGATTATTCTTAAATGAGAATGATCAGAATTACTTGGATATTTATCTGACCGATTTTTTGGCTTTTTTTATTTTCTGTATATTTTATTTGGGTTTTCTTTGAAATTTTTTAATTTGGTTTCCATAGAAATAATCTGGCTAATTTTTTTTGTACGCTGGTAATAACGAGTGTGTGATTTGATTGAACAAGTGTCATCACTTCGTATTCTAGCTGTAAAGCAAGTGTGTATGGGTCGATCAATTCGTTGGGTTGGGGTGAGGTCATGATGGCCATGCATATATGGCTTCACCGACAGTTCAACTGTTGTTGTGTTTCAATTTCTGCATGAGCCACTTGTATGTGTAGGGTGGTGTGTTTCCGTCAATGTGCAAATCCAGAGTAATGAGGAGTGTCCTGATTGGTGCCTGAATATTGTTGCTCTTACAACATATTCATCGGATAATAAATCCTGTCGTCCATCATCATGCATACACATCGTCATTTAGAATTTCGAGTCGTCAAAACTGTGAGCAGGCGGCCTGGTAGTTCCTGTTCCTCCTATCGTACCTCCACCAAGAAGCAGCGCCATCAGTGGCGGAACCAGCAGTTTTGATTAAGGGAGCCGGACAATACGCTGACACTTCATAAATAAGATAAATATATATATAAATATATGTCTCAATAGCTTTTCAATGTTTTTACGTACGTACTCACTCCGTTCCTAAATGTCTGTCGTTTTCGCTTCCCGATTAACAATTTTGACTAAATATATATTAAAATATTAATATTTGTGATACATAATTAGTATCATTGATATATATTTGAATCGGGGATTTTAATAAATTTATTTGGAGATAGAAATAATGTAAGTATTTTCTATAAATCGAGTCAAAGTTATCATAATGTAAATCGTGGCGATAAACATTTAGGGACAGATGGAGTATTTAATTAGTATTCATAGAAAAAAACACAATATTATCAATGAAAAATGGGTGAAATAATAACTTTTTATGCTACGGTAAATCTAACCTTTACTCGAGTGTTTTTTTTATTGCTTTACTCGAGTGTTTTTCTTCCTTCGCTCTCTCAATTTTTGGGCCGTCAGATGATGCGCTGCGACGAAGGCGATGAGAGGTGAGCGCGCAAGCGGTCATCGCAGGGCCCACGCTGCTTTTGCGCAGGGTAGGTGTAGAGACTACAGTAGCTAGCGGGTGGTGTCAAATCACCTAGCCCCTACTCATGTATGTATATATAAGAGCAGATCATTGAACCATATTTTACATCTTCAGTTTAGGTGTAAGTTCTATATTCAACCAATGTAAATTGATTATTCTTAAATGAGAATGATCAGAATTACTTGAATATTTATCTGACCATTTTTTTGGCTTTTTATTTTTTGTATATTTTATTTGGTTTTTCTTTGAATTTTTTTAATTTGGCTTCCATAGAAATAATCTGGCTATTTTTTTGTTTTATTTGGTTTTGCTTTGAAATCTTCTAATTTGGCTTCCATAGAAATAATCTGGGTAATTTTTTATTTTATATGTTCTATCTTTGAATTAATTCTGATCATTAGATCTTAACCCTGTGGTTATAAAATTTGAGTGTTTTATGGTCTTAAAATACTTGATTCTATCAACCGGTCAGTTTCGAGTGTTTTATTGGCATGTGACGCTCGGGTGTGACGAGTTCCTAAAATACTCGAGTAGAAGGTAGACATACTATGCAATTAAAATTTTATAGGGTATTTTTTTTCACATGGGAGGGGGGACATGAGCCCCTACAGCCCCTTTGTTCTGCCAATGGCACCGTTATTGTTCTCAACCGCGTGTAACAATGTGAACAACTAGCACATCCTCCGTTTGAAAATTGGATCCATAAACTAAAGTTTAGTCCGTGTCGGATGTTTGGATGCTAACTATGAGGATTAAATATGAGCTAATTATAAAACTAATTGCATAGGAGTAGATTAATTAGCGAGACGAATCTATTAAACCAAATTAATCTATGATTAGTACATATCTACTGTAGCACCACATTATCAAATCATGAACTAAGGTAAATCCCTTGACCAAGTGAAGGTGAGCTCGGATTCTTAGATTGACGGGGTTGTGAAAGGAATAAAAGGAAGAAGATGTTGCATCGGCTTCTATTCAAACTACTCCCTAGTATAATATTCTAGAATGGGTTATTCTAGCTTATCATCTGATATCTAATTAGGCTTAATAGATTCGTCTCGTAAATTAGCCTCTATCTGTGCAATTAGTTTTATAATTAGCCTATGTCTAATACTCCTAATTAATATTAAATATCATATGTGACATGAACTAAAATTTAGAAACCTACGAACTTCCTAGCCCGGCCCTAAAAAATGAAGCTAATGCTATATATAACGCCTTACCTTTTGTCTTTCCATTTTCTCCGCGTCTAATAAAAATCACAGTGAAGTTTTCGTCGTTCCGCAAAAAAAAAAAAAATCTTGACCTCTGTCTCTATGAATTGTTTCTTTATGCGTGTACAGTTTATTTCATTTCATATACTCTTTGTCTGCATAATATCTCTGATAGAACTACACTTGAATAATCTCAATCGTCAAATACACCCTCGTCAGCTTTACTGATAGAATTACATAGATATAAGGAAGAATGAGTATTCTTCAATCCCCTACTGACTGAAGTATAGTGCTCGATTTTAACAAGGCCGGGAATTCTGGTGAACGAACAATTGGGGGTTTCTCGGCCACCGCATGGAGCGACTCAAAAAAAAAAACTGAAGTTTATGGAGTATCTTTTGAGGTGCTCTTACAGCTCAGTTCTTTTTTTCTGGGATAGAGTTTGTAGAGCTCCAATTATTTAGCTTAAAAACGTGGAGCGAACATAAGCAGTGGATAAGGCTTCGATCGGACAAGGTAGCAAGGCAGGCATACGACGAGGCTAATTAGCGAACGCTCATTACATTTAAATCGAGCGAACAAAATTAAGACACGCCAACTTTCCTTTTTCAGCAAAACAATTCAATCCCACCTGTGTCTTTTTTGGAATGGCAGGTGCGTTAGCAGTGGGGCGCGCCCCCTCCCCTGCTCTCTTTTCCAGGCAGACGACATCATCCTTAAAAAAGCAAAATATTTATTTTCAAAATGTTATAATTTCCGAGCGATGTATCCATTTTCAATTGTATCCATTTTCACTCGACGAGGACGAACAAAACTATACTTGTCGGCATCGATATTAGGTGTGAGCAAGGAAGATCTACTCTTCCTTCCTTGGATGGAACAAACGAAAACTCTACTTATCGGGTCATACCTCGATCGCCCGACCCCTGTAACTCATCTGTCAAAAGTCTCAGGTCAAAAGTCGAGGCGATCGCCAAGGAAAAGCTCAACACCTTGTCTCGCTCAACACCTTGCCTCGATGTAACTTGTTGTCATCCGTCTCGCTGACCCCTTGGTTTGTCATACGCCGAGGCGTTCTCCAACAAGAATATACCACCGCCAACCACTCTAGGTCGTGTATGGGCCTAGGTCAAAAGTCCGCGCCAAGGAAGAGACTAACACGCCTCGATGTAACTTCGTTGTCATAGGGGTCATACGAGGGTTCACATCAAGAATAGCATCTGTCTGGGTGCGTTACGCCTAACCTCGCATTTGAAAACGCCCGAAAGCGTCGATTCACCACGACGTCGGCTGGGCGAAATGAAACGCCATGCCGCAAATGGCGCCCATGCATGGCGCCCGATGACAAGCGAGCCGCGGACGTGGAGCCATCCTCGTTGACATCTCTGAGGATCGGCGGGACCCGCATGAAGAAGAAAAAAGGA